TGTGTTGCTGCTGGTGTGTCTTTACACATTGAATTGCGGTTATGTGTTGCTGCTAGTGTGTCTTTACACATTGAATTGCGGTTATGTGTTGCTGCTAGTGTGCTAGTTTACAACCACATATTACATTTCCGATTTATGTTGCTGCTAAGTTCATCGTTAGATGAACCTACATTAAATTGCCAGTATTTGTTATTACTAGTTTCTTAACATACCTTAACTTATCGGTATATGTTGCTGGCTGCCAGTTTACCACCACACATCAAATTGCCAGTATATTTACCACCATACGTATAAAATACAGTAATATATATATATACACAGAAAACCTGTTTTCCATCATAATTCAAAATTAAATTTAACGAGTATGGGCCAACAAATGTAACTCTCTCTCTCTTTCTGCATACCTTACATTAATGATGCTATACATGGTTAAGGTTTCTTGTAATTATCTGTTTCGACGAAGATTATTATTTTGTCTCATTTTGTAAAAATAAGCTTATGTCTAATTACCTTCCGATTCGTCTCTGAAAACAAACTCCTGCGGCTTAGTTTCCGTTGTCATGGCAACGCGTGACATACGCCGAGTTGATTGGCCCTTAGTGACAAGCTGCTTCAAAGCCAGCTCGTTGTCTGAAAACCAGACATTACGTTAGCATGTATACACAAATTTAAATAAGTAATCTTCTCAAAAAATTAAAATGAAAAAAAAAAGTAATACATACGTTCGTTTAGATCATTTTCAGGATTCTATAATATAACGTTTTACATATTATATATTTATTTATTTTTATCTCCAGTGATAATATAGCCTCCATCTTTTCATTACATATTGAATAGTAAGTTAGTTACAGCTAAAGTAAATAAAAAATAAGTTTATAGTTTTCGGTCTGATGTACATCACTAGGCAGATTAATCTTTTAATTCCTTTTTTTTTTATTTTGTTCATCATCAGAGTATTTTCGTTTATGAGCACCAACATGTTCATGTTCTAAACGCAATAAAGTTTTTTTAAAAAGTCGTCGTCAATATTACGGCAAAATCAATTGACTCTTCCAGAAGCATGTTTCATGATGGAGTTTAAAAATCAGCGTCGTAGCCGTATTTTAATAGACATTATATATTTCTAAACGGGCCAAGGCATGGCCTTATGGTTAGCGTGTCCGGATGATCGTGTATTAACTGTAGAAAACAAAGCCAGAGAAGTAGCTAGATTCGAGTTGTAAATGGTAACTAACAAATACAGTTTAAACAGTTTTATCTCTTATCAACAAAGAATTGAATCTTTTAGAGTAAGCTTGAGAATGTATTACGATACTTAGTCTCCAGCTTTGGTGCTATTGTTATAATTTACGTGTTTTAAGAATACTAAAAAATTATGCATTGGCCAATTTCTAATGAAAATATCCGAATACAAGACAATGCGAACACTGATTTTTTTTCACTCTTTATCGCGAGAAACTGGCATTTAAAAGGCAATCTAACTGAGGCAACTCTGATTTGATTTAAAACCTGTAATGGACCAAATTAGAGGAATCAGGGAATATCTAATGTAATAGAGCTCTAGATTTCGGATCTGAAATTTATTCCCGCCCCCCACTTTCATCTTTGGATGTGTTATAAGTGTGATAGTCAATCTTTTAGCAGAAGATGGAGGATGGTTGGTTAGGGTACTACTGAATGGTTGCCTTCCCTCTGGTTAGTAGTTCAAAATTAGGGTCGGCAGCAAATAGCGGTTGAAATGAATACAAATAATAAATCATCATTAATATTAAGCCTACTGAATCTATTGCTTCGTCAGTTTTCGGCGTTTAATGTTAAAATTAAATGATGTCGAAGGTAGACAGTTGTGGGTAGGAATGACAGTGTTAATTATCAGTAAAATGTCGAGATATACGTCCATAGATGATGTCGAAGATAGACAGTTGTGGGTAGGAATGACAGTGTTAATTATCAGTAAAATGTCGAGATATACGGCCATAGATGATGTCGAAGATAGACAGTTGTGGGTAGGAATGACAGTGTTAATTATCAGTAAAATGTCGAGATATACGGCCATAGATGATGTGCTGCGATAAGAGAAAAAAACAGTAATTATTTCGGAAATACCTGCAGACAGTATATAGAGAGAGTAAACGTGTTTCTGAATCTAACGTCTCTAGTAATGTCTTCACACAATGAAAAACACGCTAAACTTGGTGGAACAAAGCGCGTCTCGCTGACAAAGAGAGGACAACCGCGCAAGAATGTACGCTTTGGTAGCCTGCTTCGATAGCTAAATGCGTAAGCGGTACTTTCATTTGCTTTGAAAGCACTGTTAATTAAAATGCAAATAGGAGTCTGCATAAGCTAGGGGGTAGTGCCGACCCTAATTATCACCTGAGTTCGAGGTTAAGTACTTGTTCTGCCAAACTCCGCGCGACAAATCGTTTACTGGAGCGTGGAACTACTATGAAAGTCGTTAATGAAAGGGGGAAAAAACAAGCAAATGAGATTTTATTAGGAAAATTCATGATGACATGTAGACTTACTATCGTGTCACCTCTAACTTTCATTACCAACGTTATTAGTTAAGCTCCCTTCTTTCCCCCTAACTTTGTCGGTTTAAAACTATAGTTTGGTTCATGCCTTGGAAACATCACGCAATGATCATTTCACTTATTTAATAGACATCGTTCAATAGCAAGTATTAGTATTAGTGTATGTATATATATATGTATGCTTCATTATTGTTCATATAACAAGAAAAGTGAGTTCACCGTGAAAGTTTACTCGATTTTATCATGTAGAGGAGAAGAAACAAGATAAACACCAATAAGTTGAACTCGATACATTCACGGTATTACAAGAACTATACAGAAGGAAGGTTTATTTTTGGGTACTAAGGATTGGCACATAAGTAATCAGTGCATGTTTATAATGTTAACTGTTAATGCCATAGCGTCCAGACTGATTGCAATATGAAGAATGTATATTGCACATCAATATGAAGAATGTACATTCCACACCAATTTGAAGAATGTATATTCCATACCAATATGAAGAATGTATATTGCACATCAATATGAAGAATGTACATTCCACACCAATTTGAAGAATGTATATTCCATACCAATATGAAGAATGTATATTGCACATCAATATGAAGAATGTACATTCCACACCAATTTGAAGAATGTACATTACACACCAATTTGAAGAATGTATAATGCACATCAAAATGAATAATGCATATTGCACATCAATTTTAAGAACGTACATTGCACATCAATATGAATAATGTATATTCCACATCAATTTGAAGAATGTATAATGCACATCAAAATGAAGAATCATATTGCACATCGATTTTAAGAATCTATATTCCACACCAATTTGAAGAATGTGTATTTCACACCAATTTGAAGAATGTATATTGCATATAACTATGAAGAATGTATATTGAACACGAATATGAATAATGTATATTGCACACCACTTTGAATAATGTATATTGCACACTATTTGAAGAATGTATATTGCACACGAATATGAATAATGTATATTGCACATCAATTTGAAGAATGTATCTTGCACACTACTTTGAAGAATGTATATTGCACATCAATATGGAAAATGTATTTTTCACACCAATATGAAGAAAGTATTTTGCACATCACACCCTTTATATCAAGTTACACTTATACAATTACATTTTTAATGTCAAAGCTTTAGTGATTATTTAAATATCTTACTCAAACCTAATTTTTACAGCAAGTTTTCCATTAGGTAATTTACCTTTTGAAAACAACGAGTCAATCAAGTATCCGGTTGGCTTAGTTTTACTCTTGTAGATTAGTTACAACATAAGAAGTATTAAGTACGTGGACGTAACTAAAAAACGACACAATATGCTATCAACTTGTGAACAATAATAAGAACACTTTCATTAACTCTGGACGGGTTCACTCTATATCCACTCTCATTAACCCAGAGTTTATTAACAATATAAACAGAGTCATTAACGCAGGATTTTTCACTTTATATCAGACTCATTAACCCAGAGTTTATTAACAATATAAACAGAGTCATTAACTCAGGATTTTTCACTTTATGTCAGACTCATTAACCCAGTGCTTGTTCAAAATATATTCACTTGTTTATCAATCAAATTCGTTTTCGCACAAAATCCACCGTTATTAACCCTCTGTAGTACACCGTATATCAACCGTTATTAACCCTCTATAGTACACCGTATATCAACCGTTATTAACCCTCTATAGTACACCGTATATCAACCGTTATTAACCCTCTATAGTTCACCGTACATCAACCGTTATTAACCCTCTATAGTTCACCGTATATCAACAGTTATTAACCCTCTAGAGTTCACCGTATACCAACCGTTATTAACCCTCTATAGTTTACCGTATATCAACCGTTATTAACCCTCCATAATTCACCGTATATCAACCGTTATTAACCCTCTATAGTTCACCGTATATCAAACGTTATTAAACATGTACAGATCATAGTATATCAAACGTTATTAAACATGTACAGATCATAGTATATCAAACGTTATTAACCCTGTATAGTTTGCCGTATAAAATCGTTAATAACCCTCTATAGTTCATTGTATATTAACCGTTATTAACCCTCTTACAGTTCACAGTATGCAAACCGTTATTAACCCTCTTACAGTTCACAGTATACAAACCGTTATTAACCCTCTTACAGTTCACAGTATACAAACCGTTATTAACCCTCTTACAGTTCA